CTTGAGCCCTTTCCTCTCGTCCTACCGCTTGTTACTTGGGAGAAGAGACCGACCCCCACCTCGCTACAACCTCCTTGCAGGTGGTTGTAGAGAGCGATGAGGTCTCCCCTCAGCCTCCTTTTCTCCAGGCTGTCCCGGGTCCCCGTGGGATACACGTGGCATCAGAGCAGTTTGGCAGGTGAACATGCTGGAGGTCGAGGCTCTGAGTCGGAGCTTGAACCTGCCGGTGAGGGGAGAGCTCAAGTGCATTAAATCCGGAGGAGGACCCGAGCACTACCCCCTCCAGCCACTGGTGTTGGACGGACTGGAGCGGAGGGACCAGCGGTGGATGCACTTTGGGAACGCTCCTGCCTTCAGATGCAATAAACCGCTTAGAGAGGTCCACTCTTCCCCAAGCTTGGGTGTTTCTAGTAATTATATCAGCATAGTTATTCCATTTTTGATCTTTAAAATAGTTTTTCATTACTTCCATCCTGCTTTGTATTAATTAGTTACAATTAGAGCTCGTGAAAGATTTAGGGCATGAGGGCAAAGAATTAATAGCATGAGGGGACAAAGAGCTCGCTCTGAGGTTGCGTGTTGAGGAAAAGGCTGGAAAAGCCACCGCCTGGTGGGAAGAAGGGACGTCCCCGCTCCCCCGAGCTGCCCACGAGGACCCTGGTAACCGGTTTATCTAATGGGTGCAAAAACCGTTCGCTTGATAGTATTGGTGGCATCTGTGTGTCCGGGGTTGAGAAAGCAGCAGAGGAGAAATCTGTGTGGTTTTCCTATGCTGCTTGACATCGCGTAGGATTTTTTTCAAAATCTGTTCCTTAACGTCACCCGGCTTCGTGATTTTTAAGCTTTAGTCATGAGGCTGCTTTAACCCTGTGCTGCTGCCAGGAGAGGGGGGGTCGCGTCCCCTTCTCCTGCCCTTGCTCGCAGCCGTTTGCCCAGGTACCGCTGTGCTGGCATCAGCCTTTCTCTAGCCGTGGGAGCTGATCTGGCCAAAAAAGAACCGGCAAGTACAGGATCAGTTTTCCCTGGTGGGAGCTCGCTGGGGGATTACGTGGCCGCTGCTGTGGGATCGAGCGGGCACTGGTGAAGAGCACAGGGCCATCTCTGGGGGGGGCTGTCTGGACTATGCCACTTAAAGACTGAATCGCCCTGGCTTCGGGCAGCTGCCCTGCTCTTCGCGAGGGCTCTCGCGGCAGCTGCGCGGGCTGCAAGCCAGGGGCAGTGGGACCGTAAAGTCCAGGTACCGGGGGCAGCCTGGGGTCTGTTGTACAGCACCGACGCTTATTTACAGAATTAAAAAAAGGTGGGACCTCGGGTGGAACGGGGGTTTTCTTTAAACGGCACGGACACCGGGCTTTCCTCAAAGGCACGCGGTGACGGGGAACGGGGCGACAGGCGCGAGTGGCAGCACAGGACGTTCCGGCTGGTGTTAGGGAAGAGTTCTCAGGGTGAGGGTGGTCAAACACCGGGATGGGTCTAGAGGGGCTGCGGGACCTCGTCCTTGGAGACAGCCAGAGCTTGACTGGATGAGGCCCCTGATCTACTCAGCACAGCTTCGAGCAGGGAGGTGGACCAGAGACCTCCACTCACCTCTCCCAACCTCAGTTATTCTCCCGTTCTGTAAAACACGAGTGTACTTCAGATGTATGATTTGTGTTCAAGACAGGCCAGTGTAACTGAAGGTATTCTCTGTCTCCAGAACAGCTCGGCAGCGTCTCAGTGTCTCCATGAAGGCCAGGTGACCGCTGCCCCGAGGCTCTGGTTTGATGAGCGTGCACGTGGAAATCACCCCGTCACCTCCGTAACGGGGAGCTGAGGGTTTTGCCTCGACCTAACTCACTCTGCAGTAACAGCTCGCGTGTGGCTGTGCGACACCTTTGTGCTGCTTGAGTGGTGTTTCCCTTCCTGCGTGGGCACTTCTCCAGTTACAGCACAGCATTTAGAAACACGGTGCCCACCCTGCCTGTGTTTTAAGGAGAGTCAGGTGTGCCTTTCCCCTTGGAACGTAAGAGGCTTGTGAAAGGGAACCCTTACAGCCCGGGGGGGGATGCGTTTGCATCTTGCTGAAAATCTCAAGCCTGTGTCCCTTTTCCATGCGCCAGCTTTCATTTCAGCCACCGTTGGCTTTGGTCTCGAGATAACGCTGCAGGACCCAGCTGCAGTGCTGTGTCGCTGTGCAGCCGCTCCTGGACCGTTGCGTACTGGCGTTAGTATCCTCCTCAAGCTGTGCCTTTTACTCCGGGTAAAGCCGGTTTCATGGTGAAGCCCAACCAATGCGGCCCAAATGCACTTAGAGCAGAAGGGGGTGAATTCAGAGGGGTGCTGGTCAGCCACCGGCGCTGCAGGAACAGCCCGAGGCACCTGCCTCTGTGCGGGTAACGGGCTAGAAAAGCCTCGGAGAAGGTCTTGGGCCGCCCGTGCGAGCTGGTCTGGGGTGCACAGCAGAGAGCATTTTAGGACTTGATCTGCCGAGGCAGGAGGATTCCCGGGTTTTAGGCTTGTGCCTGGCTCGCCCTCGTAGAGCTGCACCGGGTCTGATACACCGTGGGTTACAACGCGCGCCGACCCCCCGGGTAGGGAGCGTGGGGGAGACAACCCCCCCACCCCCCGTACAAACGTCTGCCGTGCTCTGTAGGGTGGGTACTGGGGGAGGACCGAAGGGGAACAGCTCACCCGGAGCGCAGTGAAGTTGCGGCATGAACGCACAGTTTGAGATGCAGCCTACGTGTGTGTGTCGGCATGTTTCTGAAGTACACGCTAATAACTAAAACCACTGGCCGCTGTAAGCCTGTACCGTCGTGCACGTTGTTTTGATAGAGCCTTTCTGTAAGATCTGGTTCTGTTTATGAAAACGTGTTTCTTGCATGGCATTGCTCTGCTCTGACCCTAGGGGCAGGAGAAGAGTTGCCGAGGGGTGAATTTGGACCTGTTAGTGGTGGGGGTTGTTTTTGTTTCGTTTTTAAGGGATTTAGGCATCCGTGGATCCCAGTGAAGTCAAAAGCAAGGTGCTCGGGACCTCTTGCCAGCCGAAAGGTTTTTTGCCAGCGTGTCAAGGAACGTTTATCACACGTTGTATTAAAATGACAGACGGACTCTGTAGCTGCGAGTGTAGAGTGATGTGTTCTTCTAAAACTGCCCCAGTAACGATGCCAAAATACAGGCTAGCTGATGGATCAGGTTCTGTGTGGGTTAAATTAACGTATGTGGAGCTCTCTCCAAAGGATGCCGCTGCTCCTTTTGGTAATTCTTGGTTTGATGTTGTAGGAGGAGGAGAATTTGCGTTCTCAAGTCAGGGACCTGGAGGAGAAATTGGAGACTCTGAAGATAAAGCGAAATGAGGACAAAGCAAAGCTTAAAGAGCTCGAGAAGTACAAGATCCAGCTGGAGCAGGTGCAAGAATGGAAGAGCAAAATGCAAGAACAACAGGCTGATCTCCAGAAACGTCTAAAGGAGGCCAAAAAGGTGAGCATCCCTGGGGAGCTGGGCAGCTCTGGTGCCGGGGCTTGCACAGGGAGACGTGATTCCAGGGCTAATTAAATTGCTGAAAATGTGTGTGGGGTTTTTTTATGCAGTACCAGCTAGCATTAAACTGTGTGCTGTCCTGACTCCTGTCTTCTGAATACACGCCAGGTCCTAAAATGGCCTCTGGCCTCACATATCGCTGTTCTCTCCGATGTAAATACTGATTTAGGTATCGAGCTGCCAGTGCAAATCCCAGATACAGTCAGGCTACGCTGCATGTTTAATGCAGCGTGCGAGCGTGGGTCTGGACCGTCATGGCAGTAGCACATGCAGCTTGTCCTGGAGCTGAAGTCACAGCTTCGTTCTCTAAGCGCACTAGATGTCAGAGCAGACAGAGCCTTTGGATGGGCTTTGCGCAGTCCTGCCAAGGTACCAGAGATTTTGTGCGTCCTAGGATTTGCTTTGCTTTTTGCTGCCTGCCTGCCCCATCTGTCCGACAGCCTGGCCTTTGGGGCAGGAACGTCTGATCTATCCGTGAGTCGATTCCTCTATCGGTGCAACTCTCAGTCTTGTGCAGGGTAAGACAAGCTGACGTTAGAGGTGGTTTCATTTAATAGATGGGGATGAAGAACGCGATAGTTGAGGAGCAGGTCGCACATCTCAACTTGCAGGATGGGTGTCCAAGTGTGGCAGCAGCCACCTTTCTCCAGTTTAATCTGCTGTCGCGGGTCTGCCAGCGCTGTGGGAGGGCCACCATTCACATTCCAAACCTGCTGATAAACAGCCAGTCCCACCTTCAAAAGCTTAAGTAAAGCTCCTGGAGATCTTGCAACTGACTTCAAAAATCAGTGGACCCCAGCAGCTTTAAGAGCATTGCCGTGTATTGAGGTTTCCGATCCAGCTGGGGGAGCAGCCCTGTAGGAAGAGGCTCACTGGTGATGCCGCGGGATCTGTTCATCTCTCCCGAAGCTGACCGTGCAGCCTAAACCTTCCCGCTGTCCCAATGCCTGGACGTCTTGAACGGGTTTTTTTAAAACCGCCGCACCTGCGCGGTGGAAGTTTTTTTGCCCTGCGCTTGTCTTTGACTCTCCAATATTTGTGAAGCAGCAGCTTGTCCTTCCTCTCGCTTGCTCCTGCGATATGTTAAGAGCAATATACTCGGGAATTGAGCAGTATGGTCCTGTACAGTACTCATGGCTTAAAGCAGTCACATCCCAATGTGGTTTCGTTTTAAATACGGCATTAATATAAGCTTTTGCTTTGTTGGACTGAGTTGATAATCAGCATTGAGTCTATTTGGGAACTGGGCTGAAGCAAGCTGGAACATCTCAGGAGCTGTTCTCCAGCAGCGATTAGATGACCCAGTCCTCTGGAGCCTCGTCTGAGCTAAGCGCGTCGTGACGGGTATCTGGCAAGGCTGAGGGGGGTTGCGAGGGCTCTCATCGATGTGTATAAACACCTGACGGGGGAAGTAAAGACTCTTCTGCGTGGTGCCCACTGAGAGTGCAAGAAGAAAGGGGCACAAGCTGAAATACAGGAAATTCTGTTTAAACGTAAGAAAAAGCCTTTTTCCTGTGAAGGTGATCAAACACTGGAGCAGGTTGCTCAGAAGTTTGGAGTCTCCATCCCTGGGGATGTGTGAGACACGACCGGACCGGGTCCTGGGCAGCTGGCTCAGCCGCCCCTGCTTGGGCAGGGGTTGGAGCAGATGATCTGCAGGGGTCCCAGCCCACCTCAGCCCCTGCGGGTGCTGGGCGTGCGAGTCCTCCCTGCTCCGGTGACGGGGGTGTAAGCGGGTGCTCCCTTCCCCACGCGCTGTGTCTTTCCTGGCCTGCTCTGGAGTGGGTTCCTCTCTCCGGTGGCTTCCTGGGGGGGTCCTGATCCTGACTTTCTAATGTAGACTTTAGTTTGTTAAAACTCATCTCCCTTTAGGTAAACTAATGCATTTTGAGTTCCTGCCCTGCAGGGCTGGTTGGTATGAGTCACTGCCAGCGAAAGCCACAGGGCTTTGGAGATAATGAATCTTAGTGTCGCTCGTTATCGAGAACATTTCTCCTGTGGCCGCTCTGCTCTTGCTGGGCCCTGCCTTTGGGTGTCATTCGAAGTGTCTGCTGCAGGTTGCTGCTCTCCCTCTGTCCCTTCTCCCCAGGGACGGGTTACCTGCTCTTGGCACCCGTGCCTGCTGCTCCCAGGCAGACGGCAGGACTCCAGCCCTGCTGGCAAAAGAGCTTTTGCTTCTCTCTGCCCTGGCTTTCCAGGGTGGATTCTTGGTTTGTTTCCCCAGTGATTTATGTGATTGTCTGCTCCGGTACCAGCCTGCATCTTTTCTGTCTTCGTACCTGTCTCTCCTCACCTGCAGATCGTTTTTCTGCTGGGCTCTTTTGTGGATGGGAGAAGGTGTGAAGCAGGGGAGAGGCCTCAGGGAGCGGAGATGGGCACCCTGGAGCACTGGCAGTGGGCCTTCCCCTCTCAGCTCAGATAAGCTGCTGCTAATTGGACTTGATCCTCCTGTGAGAGAACCATGAGAGACGTAATTGTCCGAGGCTCGTTTTTCGTGAGAGGGGCGTCTCTATCGTTGGCCTTGGGCTTCCAGGGTCTTCTCACTCGTGTGTGCTTGACTGCAGGAAGCCAAAGATGCCTTGGAAGCCAAGGAGCGCTACATGGAGGAGATGGCAGACACCGCTGATGCGATTGAAATGGCAACCCTGGACAAGGAGATGGCAGAAGAGCGAGCAGAGTCCCTGCAGCAGGAGGTGGACTCCCTGAAAGAGAAGGTGGAATATCTCACGATGGACCTGGAGATCCTGAAGCACGAGATCGAAGAGAAAGGTAGGAAGGCGTCGGCTTTTAGGCGGTCTCAGCCTGGGTCCCACTTCACAGGGGAGCTCCTCGCTGGGGAGCAGAACGCTTGACTGCTTCGGAGCAGTGGTGGCTCCTCGCTGCTGGTTGCGGTAGGGCTGAGGCTTTGCCTCTGCGATTTCCCCCGGCAGCCATTGGGGCTTTCTGCTGCGTCCCCAGCCCTGCTCGGCAGGCGCAGGTACGACCGCCACACGTGGGCAGGTCAGCAGCAGGCAGCAGCTCAGCTTCGTCTTCACTTGGGTCCCGGCCTCACTGAGAAGGCAGAGATGGAGCTGCTGCACTTTTGAGTCTGGGGACAAGTCTTCCTGTCCTGGGCTTAGAGGAGCTCAGGCTTAGTTTTAATGCTTGTCATTTTCCCTGGGGACAGTGGATCCCACTCCAAAAGGTGTTTGACTGGGACAGACTTTATGTGGGAGGTCACGCAGCTGCTTTTGTTGCTTACTGATCCAAGCTCCCAGCTTTGCACTGAGCACAGCTTCAAAACCGGTGCATTACCCTTGTTTTGATTCCCCTGGGGCCTCTCAGCTCTTGCTGTTCAAGGTGAGCTTTAAAAATTGCACACAGCAGGAAACAACCCAGCCTTTAAACACTTGCAGTATTGGCATTCACCTGAAAAAAATCAAACCTGCGGAAGCCGCGGATGATCAGGCAGGCAGGCTGAGGGATGTGACAGAAAGGTAGACCTGTCGAGGGGCTGGGAAAAACGTTGGGAGGACAGGAGTGGTCTGCAGGGAGATGTGGAAATTACTGCGATGAGCAAGGTCTTTGATTTGAGTTTGCTTTCACTGAATTGTGAGGGCCGGGAGGGCTGGGAGCTGAGAGCACTCACGGTATCCAGCGACGCGTTGCTCTGCCACAGCCCAGCGGCTGCTCGGGTACAGTCTGCGGGTTGGTACGGTGGCTCTTCATCTGCGCTAACTGGCTTTGGTGGCATCGGGGGAATCTCTCAGCCTGCGAGCACCAGTGTTACACACCAGGCTTGGGTTTTGCTCAGCTGCAGGAGAGGAACCGATGAGTTTCCCCTTGGTATGATAGATGAGGCGCTTAGGGACATGGTTTAGTGGGCATGGTGGTGTTGGGTCGACGGTGGGACTCGATGATCTTAGAGGTCTTTTCCAACCTCAATGATTCTATGATTCTATGATTGATTCTTCATCTGCGCTAACTGGCTTTGGTGGCATCGGGGGAATCTCTCAGCCTGCGAGCACCAGTGTTACACACCAGGCTTGGGTTTTGCTCAGCTGCAGGAGAGGAACCGATGAGTTTCCCCTTGGTATGATTTAGCTGTCCTCTTGCTGGTGTTTGTAATGTCACTTAGCGTTAAGAGAACTGGATCTGTTTAGCAGCTGCCATTTCTGCACAAGCGGAATAATGCTTCCTTTCTACCGCAGGCTCGGATGGAGCAGCATCGAGTTACCAAGTCAAACAGCTGGAAGAGCAAAATGCGAGACTCAAGGAAGCTCTTGTAAGGTAGGAGACCACTTGTGCTCCCCAAAGGCTGCCGATGAAGTTCTCTCCTACGAGAGCCCATGCTGTCTTGGCCTCATAAGAGTTTGTGTCAGAGCACTGATCCAAATACTTCTTTTCCAGAGCAGCCGATGTAACACGTGCTAGCTGGTCTTGGGTTGTTTCTGAGCTCTGGTGCTCCTTTAAGCATGCAACAGGGAAGGGAGAATCTCTTGTCACTGGAGACCAGTGTAGATCAGGAGAAAATGAGCCGCTTCAGACAGCTTCTGTATTTCATTTCTCTGCGTATGCAGTGCTCTGCTTCTCCAGCACAGCTGCAGGTTTATTCAAGCAGCCTGCACAGGGCAGTTCTCCAGACGCCTCCTGCGCAGGTCCTGCTCGAGGTTTCTTGAGCCTGCTCAGCACTGGGACCTGGTTCCTGCCTTTCCCTGGGCAAGCCCATCTGCCAGGGCTCGGGGCTTTGGGGCTTTTCTTTCTGGAAGCCACATGTGCTTTAGCCTGGAGGTTCAGGTGGGGTCCCTCTGGTAACCACACCACTGCTCACTGTCCCACCTCACTCCTCCCCCGTGGCTGTGGTTCAGTGCGCGCAGGGTGCTGTGTTGCCTTTGGTGCAGAAAACAGCCTGTGCTTAAAGACAATTACTCCTGTAGGCCAGGAACAGGTAGAGGAGGTGGAAGCATCCCCTACTAATAGGAAACACAAGAAACTGCCTTGCGAGGACTCCCAAACCAGTGCATAGTTGGGGTGGGAGGTATAAAGAAGGTCCAAGCGAGAGAACCTCCCAGCACTTGCACTCCCTGGGCAGAGCCCCTTTGGGGCTGTTAGCAGAGCTGGTCACACAGGGGCCTCAATATACACATAAGCAAAGCTCTGTTCTTTGGCGTGCCGAAGCGCCTTTCCTTGTCTGTGCTTTGTCTTTTTGTGCTGCTGACCTTCTCTCTTACACTGTGAAAGGCTGTGAATGTGACTTATTTTTCTTTGCTTACTGGGTTCTTCCTTTCTGTGCTTTAGCCTGTCCCATTTACAGCTATTCTTCCCTGCCTGTCTCTGTTGTCTATTTTTCTACGTTCTCCTCTTCTGTTCTCTCCATCCTCTATCGCTCTGATTCTTTCAAAGCAAGGTGCCGTCTCGGGCACCGATTCACGCCCATCCCTCACTGTTAATGAGCTGTTCTCTGGGGACGCTGCTCGTGTCCCCCCCCAGGGAGGGGTTGCCAGAGGCTCCAAAGGAGCTCTGCTCGCGCTGCTGATGGGCAGCCAGCACCAGCGTGGGTGTGTGGGGGGTCTTGACTCTGCTGGTGCCCACCAAGAGCAGTGTCTGGGAAGGGGATGGCTCCTCTTGCTCTGGTACCTGGGTCTCTGCTGGGCTTGTGATGGGTCTGGTTGCTCTGTCAAAGGATGCGGGACTTGTCTGCATCAGAGAAGCAGGAACACGTGAAGCTTCAAAAGCAAATGGAGAAGAAAAACACGGAGCTGGAGTCCCTGCGTCAGCAGAGGGAGAAGCTTCAGGAGGAGGTGAAGCAGGCGGAGAAAACGGTTGATGAGCTAAAGGAGCAGGTGAGTCCACTGGGGGGAGGATAGGCAGGGAGGGGAAGCTTGGGGCCGTTTGGAGCATTGAGCAACTGCTGTCGGGCAAGCTTGGGTCACCCCCTGGCACAGAGCGCTTTCTGTCAGTCACTCTTGGAGAGCCGCGCTCGGTGATACCACTGCAGGGACTAATACTTCTGGGTCCCTGTGCAAAAGCAAACCCTGTTCCAGCGGTGGAACTGTGCTGGCCGTAGGGTGGCTCTTGAACATAGGACATGGATGATATGTCGTGCTTTCCAAGGCTGATCTGTGTTTGCTGCTTGCTCAGTGCTGATCCATCACATCTTCCTGCCTGGGTGATCTTCATGAGGCTTGTTCCTGGCCAGACTGAGACATCGGTGCTGGTGTGGGGCAGCCCTTAGGAAGCCCTCAGGAAGGATCATAGAATCATAGAATCATTGAGGTTGGAAAAGACCTCTAAGATCATCGAGTCCAACCGTCAACCCAACACCACCATGTCCTAAACCATGTCCCTAAGTGCCTCATCTACTCGTCTTTTAAATACCTCCAGGGATGGGGACTCAACCACTTCCCTGGGCAGCCTGTTCCAATGTTTAACCACTCTTTCAGTAAAGAAATTTTTCCTCACGTCCAATCTAAACCTCCCCTGGCGCAACTTGAGGCCGTTTCCTCTCGTCCTACCGCTTGTTACTTGGGAGAAGAGACCGACCCCCACCTCGCTACAACCTCCTTGCAGGTGGTTGTAGAGAGCGATGAGGTCTCCCCTCAGCCTCCTTTTCTCCAGGCTAAACACTTGCGATCTACGTTCGCTGCAGAGCAGCCTGTGCAATTCCTCCGAACTGCTGTTCTGGAGGGACGCTGGCCTCACGCTCTCTGAGCATTAGCCTGAGTTACGTAGAAGGTGGGCTGTTAGCAGAGGTGATGCTTCTTAATGCAAAGAGACTGAAATGCCTATTCCTCCATTAATACTGTAAGTGTATAACCACTCCCCTAGGTCCTCAGGGGGGACAGAGAGCTTGGAAAGCACTGTCACAAGCCTGCGAAGACTCAGCCTGAAGGTCAGCATCGTTTACACTGACCTGAAACTGTTCAACCTCGTGCCCTGGTGCTGCAGCTAAAGAGCCAGTACATCTCTAAGAGCCAAAGCCAGGCCTCTCTTTTTCACGTGCCCTTCCTTCTGGGGCTGCTGGCTGTTCTGGTTTGAGTTGTTTGCTCTCCTGAGGCATGCTGTTCTCTGCTACCAGGAGGGAGCTTATGCACTGTCTGGCAAACCCTCACCCCAGGATGGGGAGATGGATTTATCAGCCACGTCCCACAGCTTGCCGGGGTGATCCCACGGTGGTATAAAAGGATTTTTGAGCTGCGTGCTGCAGTGTGTTGAGCTCCAGGTTGGAGCGTGATGTGGTGCGTGCTTGCAGGTGGATGCTGCTTTGGGTGCTGAAGAGATGGTGGAGACTCTGACGGAGAGAAACTTAGACCTGGAGGAGAAGGTCCGGGAGCTGCGTGAGACTGTTGGGGACCTGGTAAGACGGACTCCTCTGGAGTAAGGGCTGGTACTGGAGGGCTTGCGCCACTTCCTTCGTGCCTGCTGTGCGGCTGGGCTGATGCGAGGGCTGGTCCAGCCGACTGCCTGGCAGTGAGGCTGCCCGAGGCACCGGGAACTGCCTGGCAGCGGTGCCAGAGGGGACTGGGGAACCTCTCTAGAGGCATTGCACTCGGTGCCGCTTCCGAGCGGTGCACTCTTCCGCTCTGCAGAATATGCCCCTTACACCCCGGGGTGCTGTCGTGGTTTAACCTCAGCCGGCAACTGAGCCCCACGCAGCC